TACCCTTATTTTGAATGACATCTTGCAACCCACTGACTACCACATTTCCGTGTACTGACAAATTCTATTTCACTATTATTCCATGTAATACCATTACATGTCAACGTAATTTTGTGGCACATACATTATGCCACAATTTTCAGTGATATATTTACATATTCAAGTCCATACAACAAAGCAGGTGCTTGCTCCGATGTAATCCCCTACGGTATACATCTCATATCCATTGTTGATGATGTAGACCTGAGCCCCATCCTGTCCTTGTATCACCCCATACACACTATGATACGTACCGTATCTCATGCCCAGTAAGGAATGAATTTACCACCCTAACCTAAGTGCACCAGTCCTTGACAGCCTCCCTCATCTCTACCACTGATAACCCCTGTTCCAGGATTCCTTATATAACAGGGTGGGGCACAAACAGCTATATTGAGCTAATCTCAGATACTTCATACACCACAGTATCTAAACTTGCTAGTATCAGTTTCTAAGATTCCACATACCATTCCACTTAAAAAAGGAACCACAAGTTCACCAAAATAGTTACATAGTCTGGGCATGGAATGCTGTTCGCCTTCCCTTCGTTAATCACCTTTAGTTGAAGCCCACTTGCTACCCATCAATCAAAATCTTCAATTACAGACAGTCCAATTAATTGATTGTTCCAAAATTCCAGTCAAATGAAATGAATCCCATCTCGCTAGCAGTCGGTTAACTAATGGTTCTATTACAGGGGTATGAATTTGGCCGCTGGTATCTCTCGAACAGGTGTGTGCTATCCTCCTTATCCCTTACCCTCCAGGAGACGATATTCCCCCTCCTCCCTCCCTTCCACCATCATCATCATCTGCATAATTAAAGCCCATTCCATCACCCTAAGATTTAATCTTGAGATAAAGGGCCCGTGATTACAATCTAGCCAGCTTGATAAGGCAATGCGGAGATGGTAGTCAGGTCTGCCACGATAAGCTTTGCCAATGTAGATAATTAGTGCTGAGGATAACGTCATCTGGACTGCCACATAAGTGTTACCGATCTAGATAATTAGCACTCAGGAAAGCGTCATGTGACTGACAGACATCACACTCTAATACAGAAATAGCCGTGCCATGAATGAACAATGTTTGTGACTGTCCCTGTACAGTAAACCCTGCTTAAATTTTACATAACTAAAAACTGCCTTCGAACCACTTCTTTCAGCTCTCAATTTTTACATAACTTCTTCCAACAGCTTCTTTCAGATAAACTTTTGTCAGTAATACATTTTCTCATTTTGGTGATATATGGTAGAAGGTTCAAACTAAGAGTGCAAGACACACTCCAGTCTGAATGGAAGCCTCAATCACCGCCTGTTGAAGTGGTCCCTTGGATTCATGTGCTAAACTAGCTCTTCAATTCATAAAGCGGAATTCATTACTCGACAAATGAGGCGTAAACTACTTAGAAATGGAACTTTTCTCCCTTCTCCCTGAAGAGCTCTTTCCCACCATGCATCTGTCTGCCAAACTGAGGCAGGCAGCTGCACAGGGTCAAAGGTTAGACTTTTCACAGCCCCACCCATCTTCTGATACCCCAACTCCGCCAGCAAGCAAGCAAACAAGGCCCCAACCATGAGCTAACTGCCCTATACTCACTTGGAGGCTTGTAGTTTTTTTCTTTATTGCGTTCCTTTATTCGTTGTTCCAGAAAAACACACTATACCCATACAGGACATACAAAACATACTGAAAACTGACAGACTCGACCATACCATTATACAGAGCTATCAGTTATCATACCAGGCTGATGGAAAAAAGATGGAACATGTAGAACACAGTTCCCTAATTTTAATTATGCCATAGCAGTATTGTACCACAAAGACCCCAACTGCTTCAAATTATACCATATCCATCTGTGTGCTTTAGATGTTTAAATATGAACATCTACAGGGGTGGAAATAACCCATTGCCTGACGCCCCAGTCCAGTGTTTTTTTCTGTCGGGCAAGCAAATTTGTATATCACACTGTACCGGTGTCCAGTTGCCTTTCCAATGTTAATTATGTTGTTTATTTAAAAAATCAACAAGAAAATCGGCCAGTATAGTGGAAAAATTATCAGGGCAAGTGATTTTACATGTGCCACTGTACTGGAGTACACTAGCAATTTTAAAGTTATTTCCACCCCTGTTCTATTTAAATCCCTTTCCCTCGACTGGCCTCTACACCAAAACCTAAAAATCCAGGTCAACCCACTTTCTTTCTCAGGTTCTATTCATTATTACAAAATACTTAGAATGCAAATCCTACTCCTCCCAACTATATCAGTCCAAAACAGGTTCCTATACCACAGATCAGGTTCTCACAGAACACCTGCACTTTCAATTGGGGCTGACACCTTACAATTGTTGGATTCAAAAACAGGTGTATGTAAGTCTTAAGTTGAATACATATAGGTATTGGCTCCCCCACCCTTCACACACTGAGCTCTTCTGCATCCCCCCAGCTCTTCCCCTCCCTTAAACAGTTTTATACCTCCTTACCCTGACACGCACCTTTTTTTTCCCCCTCCCTCTCTTCTCCCTCCCTCAGCAACCCCCACCCCCAAAATTACTAAAGAAAGCTGTTCCTCATCCAACATCTTCAAATCTCAGGCTACACAAAGCCAGTGTCTGTTCCAGCCAATTCAAATAGTGCAATGTCCTTTAGAAATTGTGAATTGGGTCCCAGTGAGAAGACTAATCTCGCAACACCTCTCTAGATCACAGACCTGGGTATTTTAATAGCAGCCACTTGCACTGCTTTGGTGTCTGGGCGATTTTATACACGTCCTTACACACAGAACACTTAGACATGACAAATAGTCCACCTTACACACAGAACACTTAGACACGACAAATAGTCCACCTATCATCTGACTTCACACTTTACAGTTTCACAGTTATATAGCTCTTACTGTCAGTCCAGCTTGTGATCTTGTTTGTCCAGCAATAAAAATTATTTAATGATATTGACCATAGAAATTCATTATTGTCACTTGTCTGCATGATGCCCAAATTTTAGTCAGTTTTAAGTTTCCTATGGATGTTTTCTAGAATTCTTAGAGCTGGAGTGCAGTTTCCTGTGTTGGAGCCTTTGAATCCATTCTAGTCCAGGAATACTAATTTGTGCTCGCAAGTAACAACCCAATGTTAGTCTTAAACTACTTGTAGCATTTGAGGGCTATAATTCCAAACCAGCTCTTTAAGTTGGAATTATGCTACTAATTTTAACTGAAGAATGCTGACAGAAAATGTGTCTCATTTAAGCAGATCTAAATTTTTCTGGCTAATGGGGGGGGGGGGGACTAATGCTTCTCTTAGAAAAATGATGTCAGTCAGTTGGTTCCAAGTCAATTTGTGATACATTAAAAGACTCCCTAAACCTTCCAACCTTAATCTCTACCAAACGATCACACTACTAGACACAGGTCAACAAACACAAACTTTCATTTTCTCTAAATCATCTGCTTTCATATTAATCCACCAATTAAGTACCCTTTCACTGACCAAACAAACAAACATCTGTCAAGTTATAAAACCAGAAAGGTGTCCAAATACAATGAAAATATCTTTCACTGAAAAATTCCATGACAGGTGCACATATGCTTTTCAAAAGAAGGTTGAGTAACATAGCAGACGCCTTCCATCTCCCACTCAGAGGAACACTGTGCATTATAACGTCTGCAGTATTATTGTTCCAGATAATCTCTGCCTATTGAGCTTTATCCATGAAAACTTGTGTTTATATATGCAGCCCACATAATGTCCCTAGGTCAAGAAATAAGCCCTTGTATCACAGGTGGAGCCCCAGGCTGATATTGTCTTCAACACACCCTTAAGGGTTATCAACATGACCTTTTGACCTTGATTAAACTGACCTAGAGAAATAGCTTTGGGTGTAGCAGTTCTGTGAGGTAATAATGGCACTCACTTTACCCAGCCTGGGCCTTTCATTCAGTTGTAGTCATGGTAGTGGCGATATAATTGAGGAAGGATGCTCATTGTAAGGTAATAGCTTCCTGTGCTTGTGTTCAAGGCAATCTGCCCTCACTTAAACCCATGTATACTTAACGGTTGTTAAAATCCAACGGGGACCATCCAATTGATATCTACATCCTGATTTACATGCCAACAATCGCAGTAACAAACTCTCATAAAATAACCAAACACGAACATGTTGCTGTTTCAGCCCCACCCTAACATGGCAATAATCAAATCGCCATGGTTATAAAACACTTATGAATATAAAGCAACTAACCATTGAATTTCAGTCATTGATCTAATATTAACATAATCACATGAAACCAACATCGAAGTCTTCACTTCTACTTGGAATAGTCCCCAGTGCTGAAGCTGGATATTCCGAGCGATGTCGATGTATTTTTGTTGCAAACCGACAGTAGTGATTACTGTATCAATGGTGCCTACCCAGTCACAGGCTAGTCTCCGGCTAGTCCTCAGTGTCGCTCGGTCAGTTACAGTTTGCTATTAGACACAGCACAAAATCAATATTCTCGTATAAGCCATCAGCTTTCCTGTTCGGCTGCTTCAATTTTGGAATGAATTCCAGTGTAGTTTATAGTTATGGGTCTAATTTCGCAAATGAAGGATGCGAGCGTTGCAGTTGGCCTTAGCAAACAGTCACCGATCTCGGATCAGACCTACCGCATAATGGTGCTTTTGACGTCAGTGGCGTCCGTCAAATATTTATTCTACCCATAATTCACAGCATGCTAACGACTGCTATTAGACGAACACATTTCAGATCAATCCACGAGATCAGTTTTTGAAAAACAGTTCTAAAATTGACACCTAGCTTCTCTGATTACCGTTTTCACATATCAATAAACAGTGTGGTGTTGATTTGTGGAAATGTTTTGTTGCACATTGTCAAATCAAAACACAGTCCCGTAGTCACTTCCCGGGACTGTTGAAAGATTCCCCGACTCCCTTGTTAGATCAATAGAACAACAAACTCACCTTGGGTTGTGCCTTCCGCGGGAATGCCACCTTAGGGTCTACCTGTGTGGGGAGAAGAAAGCAATAGTTGTCCATCATACAGTATCTGTGCCAGGATGGATGAGAAACCTGTTCGACTACTCCTACCCGACTGATTGATAGAGATGGAAAATGCAGCTATACGTTACTCGTTAGCGTAGGCACTCTGGTGCAGGCAAATACCATTACAAGTTCTTTACCAAGCAAACACTGGCACAAAGGCAGAGATTGGAGAAAGCTTAGCGTCAATATAGTTCTATTATAGCTTGTGCTATTCAATACATGATCATTAACACAGTTGGAATAAGTTGTGATGTAATCAACACTACTCATGGCCTACACATGAACACAGGATTTCTAATATGGTAAACTTTTGTGCTTACAATCAACAAGATATTATCTGACATAATGTGGAAATGACAAAAACATGTAAATCGAAGGTAATACGAACACATGAAGTCTATGGATACAAAATAACGACTGAAGCCTCTAAGTCATGGTGTCAAGCACATGATTATACATCGTGAGGACAATGCTACAAGTTGGGTGCTGGACCGACGCCACAAAAATAAAACCTTTAGCTTGAAAATGAAAATTGTAATTATCAATAAATTATTTCGAATCAACGTCCTAACATGCCAAAGCAAATTAAGATAAGTATCAGGGGTCTTTATGAAGCAGTAACTTGATAAGTCATACACAGCACTACAGCTATACCAAACCAGTGGATAAGATCAAGTAGTCGGCTAAATAACTACATCAATGGCAACTTTATGAAGGGTTACTAAACATGCTATATTCTAGACAACTAAACTTTTAACCAAGGCCATATAGCCATGGTTTGATCTATATCAGGACAAGTGCTGTATCTTACTCATAATTTCATACTAATTATAATTTTAACTGATATATAAGTTAGTTCATTAAAACAGGTTGACACAACAAATGTTTGAAAAAATGTAGAAAAATGTCCAAGAATGTCTGCATACTGTCACAACGACTGGCATCAATGTATTTCAATTTTTAAGGTGTCATATTTTGACAGCCAGAATGATCAACTGGCTTAATCCGTATTCCAATCAATAGGTGACATAAATTTGTAATTGTAAATTTTTCAACACATTTAAATTTTTAAAAGTGTCATATTTTTGTGGCAGAGTCCAACCAACTACAATGAAGAACGAAGCTACTGTACCGTTTTCGAATCTAGAGCATGAGGGCCGCTAGCTAAAACCTTCTCTACGCTAGCAGGATCCCGGTATGTTACGAAGCCGAATCCCCTGAAAAACAGACCACTAGACGTCAGTACACAGAATACTAAGCTTTCTCAGGGGTGTCCTGGGAGCTTCGACATAACAACGCCACACTGCAACAAGCCTTTGCACAGAGTAGTGAGGGATGGAGAACATGGTATAGTGAGGATGCAGGGGACAGATGGGTGAGGTAAAGGGGAATCTTCATTAACTGTTGGTATAAAAACTACAAACAGGGATTTGAAAATAATTCCGATATCAAATTCATGATATTTATTTTTTGTTGGATTGATATTTATCTATGTTGAAAATACTGTCAGTTATTTAAATTTTTCATCATTTATAAAAACATCTCTGACAGAAACTTTTTATATCTTTTGGGGGATAAATATGTAAAAATGTGGGTTTGTTTCAAATGGGATATTTCATTTTGAAACAAAAATCTATAATTCATGTGAGACTATGTCTAAGAACACACGACTTCAACCATTGCAGGAATAGAAACAATAATACCTAACACAAAATAGACTTAAAAACTATTAAATAAAAAGATACATTTGAAACTGAAACACTTCTAGTATTTTTAGGTCAAATATTTTCACAGAAAAAAACACTTCCAAGAAGATGTTTTCAAAACAACCCTGTCAAAGGTAGAGGGTGTGTGAACAGTGGGTGAGGAATTCCTTCTCGGAGTGTGATTTCTGGAGTGAGAGAAAATATTCAAGCCAGCTCATTAGAGAGGGGATTCCCGCTCTGCTAGCACACAGTCGGGATATTTTCGGCTTCATTTCATGCTTGACTTGACGCTTTATGCCCAGGCTGTGGAAACATCATTGACAACAACGTATGTCTGTAACCTGTGACAGGAACTCCTAGCATCATTAAAAGTGTGTTGTTGCATACACGTAAACAAACTGGCACATTGAATGGACATGTGTAAATTGACTATCTGTATCGTGTAAATTACGTTCAGGTCAAAAGGGAATAAGTTTGCATTGTTAATGAAGTTAACTGTGGTCTAAAAATCCATCGTCTGACAATTATGTTACATTTCTCGGGGAGGGGGTCACACGGGAACGTATGTCGGGATGATTAGAGTTACAGACACATATAGCGTAGCGACCAAATCCCGAAGACGTGAAGCAGGGTCAGGGTGGATACCGGATAGAGTGCATGAAGGTTATGAGGACCATCTGACTAGGAAATTCTAGCATTCGTACAATCTACGCTACATTTCTAAACTAAACACTGGACGCGAAGTGCATCCCGGCCCGCTCTGGGCACTCTAGCTGTTCATAGAGCAGTTGACTGATGTTCGTGCACACAGTAGCAAAGTGTTGAAACCACCCTACCTGGACCTCTTGGTAGCGGGATCTTTCATCACCATCGTTTCTTTGATTTCGCCGTATTTCCCAAAATACTCCCGTAGGCCCTCTGAAAACAATATTAACATGTGTTATTTTCGAAAAGACATGACGTTGACAGTTTGGATATTATGAACGGAGGCCCAAGATGAAAGGCTTGAGATCTAATGGCATCGCGCTTGCGGATTGTTTATAGTAAACTCTGACTGCTATCAGCGCTAAACTGCAAGTCACCTCGGTTGTAGAATAGCTTTTCCGTTCTCAGAAACCATTTCCCTCATCTCATAAAGCGAGAGATCGGCTTACTTCCGAAAGAACTCAAATCACAATTCAATAAGTCCCCTACCCACCGCCTCAGTGTAGGTGAACTTGAAGGCGAGATCAGTCGCCTTGCTGGGCCGACGGCTGAGACGATGTACACCATGAATGGACGGGCGAGTACACAAGACTACAGCACGCGAAACAATAACAGAAGAAGAAGACATACTAACCTGCAGTCGTCTGCCACGATAGGCCTCCGATAAACATCTTCCTGCAAAAGAAAGAGAAATGGTGTGACGAGAGAGTTTGGCCATGTTGAAACGCTGACCTAATTGGACGAGTTTAGCGTTCTCGATAAAGAGAAATCTTCCAAGTGTTACGGCGAAAGAGAGAGCAATGTCGGCCGGCTGTCAGACAAGAAGATCGGGGTTTTTAAGATGGCGATAGTCACTTACCCAGGGTCATTAGGGATTTCGTCCGTGCTGTTTGGTGATGACTGTTGGGTAGAGTCCATCTTCATATTTCTATCCGGCTACTCCTAACTATCTACTCCACTGACTGACTGACTCGCACGTGGGCTGCTGCTGCCCAGATAGTCTCGCGCTCACATCTATTGGCTCGTCGTGGGTGGGCATTTCGCGCGTCGCACAAAGGCGCGAAGGACTGTTGATTGACACCTCATCCTGATGTCCTGATTGGCTGAGAGGCCGTTGCCGGGCAACTGATATCAGTTTACACTGACGTCATGGGAATATTTGACTGGTCGTTACGCCCTGAGCCTGTGCAGCACAATGAAAACAAACCCGCCCCACATGCTTATGTCAGAAAATAGCAGCCAATGACAAGCCGAGGCCCTAAGCTCGGTAGCGCTTTTGCTTTGATTACACACGTCAAGTCCTATTGAATGCATCTGTTTTTTGCCTCTGTGCGAGATCGTGGAGAGAAATGGCAATAATCTACCGTACGATTTATTCACATAAACCGTAGTCGGTGCGAGTGGGTCCCTTGAGCCCAGTACTGAGAAATGCTGACCAACCGAAGCGTGCTAATTTAACTAGAGAAAAAATATAGATAAATTACAACGGTAAAAACATTACCGATTAATCTCAAAATGGCATGATCGCTTTGCTGCATGGTATCCATATGGGCTTGAGAAAGAATTCGTGTAAAGGTTACTGGAGATCGTATTCTTGTCTATTGTCATGCAAGGTTTAGTCTGTCCATAGTTGAAGAACAGCTCGCAGACACTGAGTTGTAAATCCCTCAACGACCGCGCTTCATCCCCAGCCTATACACATCCTAGAAGCGTCTATCGACGATCAAACATTTTCTGATTTCGTATTTATCACTATTTACGAACACATAACAAATCGATATTGCATATACACCATGTATCCAGCTGCTGTGATAGACTCAATTAATCTGTTGATGTGGTGTAAACTGGATTTACCGCACACAAGCGGTGATTTCTTAGGCGACTTTGTTGTTAAACGGTGCAAATTGCTATAACACATAGCCGTATTCAATAGCATTGTTTGGAAATGTAGAACAACATTGTTTGGCAACACCTTGATATATACAACATAATTAAAAAATAGTTACACAGCAATATCAGAAAAGCACTGTATATATGGATACAATGTGGTAAGCGTTGATGCATTGTCATACTCTGAAATCTAGATAAAAGATAAACAATTTCATCTGGAATATTACAAGTGTTTTAATTGAGATATACATCCATTTATTTGCGCTGGGTTTTTAAGTGCAAAAATAAATCGTGTATTAATATATGCACCCTATTTTTAGCTAAAGTTAAAAAAACAATTATTGAATTCTTTACAAAACAATTTGATTTGATTCAAATTTACGTCGTTAACCACTATTCACGAAATGTGTCACTATATTATTATGATTTCATAAATAACCATTATGTATTAATAAATAGACATAAACTTTACTGTATCAAAACACCGACAGAAATGGCCGTTTATTCATAACATTAGTATTTACGCTGAAAGAGCCAAACTATTGATGTGACCTTCCCTCGTAATTCTCTTTACAAAATGATTGGCGGCCTAACGATGATTGTTAATGCCCCAATTAGCATATCCTGGGACAGTGTGGCCGGTCGGCATTGTGGGGCAGTGACCCGTATCCTCCTCATCATGCGGACGCTGACAGTTAGCGTTCTGTATCCTCAGATCTACAATCACCCAGAGGTCACGAGAGACACCCCGACCCCCTTTTCTGTTGTCTACCCGTTCGACCAGTCTCGCTTCTTTTGACTGCGAAAACAATGACCTTGAAAGAAAAGCCGAATCCCGTCTGTCAGCAGTACGGCTGCGTCCACCACAACAACAAATCTCGAGCTGCTACGTCACATGCACGTGCCACGAGCCATCGTTCACGAGACATCATTTTCAGGAAATCGTCATCTTGGGGACTGGACTATAATTTTGATTCATAATTGAGTGTTTCAAAACATTATAATGTAATTAAATCGTTAGTGATTATTTTAAACCGCTTAATGACCTGATGTAAAAAGAAACCTATATTTTATTTCTAAAGTTTAATCTAATATGGATGTAGCAAAGCTGACTAGAATTTGATGGCCATTGATTGTCACGATTATCGGCTCCCCGAAACAATCACCATTCCAGCTTCCACCGGCCCTTCGTCACGTGACTTTATCACAACACTATCCAATTCGTTGGGTTCACATTATTTTTCAACTCGCTGTGCGCATGCGCAGAGCGTGTGAAAAGTATCCACTGGCATGTTTCCGGTTTGGTCGTATGCTTATCGATAGTGTAAATGCACTCTAAATAAAAGCTGTTATGAAAATGATTTACGTTGTGACAACTGTTCATAGCTGAGTACATACTTCCATTTGCCTCTGCTTTTCAATAATTGATGTCCTATTTTGGTTGCAACTCCATCAGAGATGTGTTTGTTTAGTTGAGAAGGGGGTGTGCAGGAAGGACGGTGGTGGTGAGATGTCTTTATACAAGAGCTTGTTAACATAAATAAAGTTATTTATTTAACTAATCCCGGCCTCTGTTCATAAATCAAAATGGGATCAGTTATATTCGACATAAAAGTATATATTTGTTTTGATTTTTGTTTTCTTTGGAGTGTTTACACTATCGATAAACATACGACCAAACAGGAACATGGCAGTGGATATTTTTCGCACGCTCTGCGCATGCGCACAGCGAGTTGAAAAGTAATGTGGAACCAACGAATACAACGTCCCCAGTTCAAAGTAGTTCATCTGATTACCAACGAATTATTTCAAAGGAGTTAATTATCAAAAATATTTGACTTGGATATTAACACATAAAAATCGTGAATTGATATTTTTCAAGTAACGTTAGGAAGCACGGATACGGCATTTTGTAAAAAGGAGAGCTGTTTTAGTGATTTGGCAATTAGCTTTGATTTATCGTGAAATTTTGTTGCTGAAAATATGAGTTGAAGGTGCGGGCAGGTGGCCTTTGGCTAACATCGTACGGTTTATAGCGTTAGTTGTAATGCCTGGTGGTTAGTTATCCTTATACTAATAACAACAACGATGATGATGATGAGGATGACGATGGTGACGATGAAAACCCAGACCATGCACCAAGTGCAGACATATATTTCTTGTATGTCTGTTCAGTAACTGAGAGTAATTGGGAGTCACAGCACCGCACGACAGGTTCTCATTTTGTGGATTTCGCCCCGCCCAGAAAACAAATAGCGCCCATCTGTCGCTGTATATAGGGTGGTGCATGTTGACATTCACTCGCAATTCTCGCTGTCGTTCCCGGGCTGGTTACACTTGCATAACATTATGACACAACCCCGAGATCATTCAAAGGATTTGATCAAATGGAGGTTAGTTCCCACCGGCTTTGAATTTGTGTAGGGTTTGTTTGCGATGATGATGATGGTGATTATTGTTGGAGCTAACCACTAAGCGGTGTTAAACTAACTTGTTAAACTTTTAATTATTTATTGTTGTTTGTTATTAGAATTATTATCATTATTTTAATTATTATTACTGTTTTATTCATTATTAGAATTGTAATTATTATAATTATTTATTATTAGAAATATTATTCTTACACTTATTATTTGTGTCATTATTACTATGCCACATGTTTTTGTTTTATCAGTAATAATATTGTTTTCCTTTTTATGATAAAAATTTAATTGATATCATTGTTATCGTTACCAAGTTGTTTGTATTCTTTGTTGATATTATATGAGTACGCAGTCACCTTTAGTGTGAAATTAACATAAAAAAGTCACATCCTGGATTTGTACTGGATTTTCCTGTTGGGGAGGTGTTGATCACAAGCGTAAGTGAATGCGTGGCTGACCTCACTCTAAGTATTGTTCCACCCATCGTAAAATTACCCGATCGCGACATTAAAACAATTTCTGTGATCAAACACGTTCCTGGGTTGTAACCTTGAGATATATTCCCTTCTTGGTCTTATTTCCACTGCGATGTGAATATCACAAGCGAATACATAGTGTGAGATACAATGAGAGAATCATCACCATCTCGCTACTCGACGAGCTGGTAATACGGTGTCCATCAATCACCTTCCTCTGTTACGATTCCAGCCCTCGTAACTCCTTACACCGCCATTGGTCTGAGGGTGTGATATATGGACGTGTTGTGTTATGCTTGTCACGCCGTCATCAACAACGTCTACGCCCGTGTTGTGTATACACACACGGTAACCGTACTAGCAACTGCTGCTCCTCGCCTTTTAATTTATTCGCGGGATGAATTGCGATCATGTGAGAGGTTGTGCATGACGGCGCTGTCATCTGTGGTGGAGTAATCCCCGAGTATTGATTTTATGTTTGATGTTACAGATAGACATCTACACGTACACCACTGTCGACCTCGGGAACATCGACATCGACGTAAATCGCTGTCATCGCTGTCACATTTGATCTGAAAGTGGGTGTGGGCTGGGGCTTCATGGCTCCACGTGTGTATCTAAGTGTAACTGATCACGGTTTATTCATGGAGATATGTAACAAAGATATACAATGATACTGTGCCGCTAAGATGTCGATAGGAAATCAATGTTCCAGTGGGTTGATGTTTCCGTTAAATATCTGTAAATGTGAAACATTAGTGCCAAGGAAAAGATTTCGATCTGGGCGTAAGTGGAAAAACAGTCATGAAGATTGTATGGATGGATCGCTAATACTCGCTGTGCTCGAGAGGTTACGACCCGTGAAGATCCGGATTAGAATTGATCTTCAGTAACTCGTGCTTGTCGTAAGAGACGACTAACGGGATCGGATGGGCAGGTTCGCTGACTTGGTTGACCCACATCATCGTACCCCAATTGCATAGTACGATGCTCTTGCTGTTGATCACTGGATTGTCTGGTCTAGACTCGATTATTTGCAGACCGCCGCCATATAGCTGGAATATTGCTGAGTGCGGCGTTAAACAACAATCAATCAATAAAAAAATTCAAACCAATAAAAAAAAAAACAAACAAACAAAAACAATCAATCAATCAATCAATCTCATGGTTGCACCCACCACCCACAAAATCGAAGTCATCAGCTAGAGGAAGTTAAGTACACGCATACGTTCAGAGTGGCAT